AAAAATATTCTTTGATTTCTTCAACTATAAACTCTCAATCTTACTCTAAGCTTGTAACTACTATATACTTGAATTTTTATTTCAAAAATTCTCACTGCTTTCCAGTTCATATATCACTAAAGAGTTTGTTCATGGATTGTGCCATCTCCTTTTTGACCACTGTATTATCTCAGGGATTGGTTTCCAAGACATTCTGTACTATTAAACTCTCTGCTTGATCAAGTACCAGACATTGCTTCATTGACTCCTTGACCTAACACCAGAAATGAGGTAGTAGGGAGAGCAGTCATGGGCTTCAGATCTTGTGGATGAACAGAACTGCCCACAATTTGCTCTGACACAAAGCGAGTTTGGGAGAAGCAGCATCCTCCGTTGCACAACGACCTTTCGGTATTCAAATGCGCATGATTGTGTTGTCCAGAGCAGTATTCTTCAGCTATTGTCTTCTTCTGTGGCATCTAGTGGGAGATGCCCTAATCTTCTGCAACTTTATTCTTGAAAAGATTTCATGGGGCGGTTGACAAATTCTTTTCCTTGGATGTCGTCTGTGGATGCCTGCAGTCCGCCATGGCATTTACTCGACATATGTGAAAAAGGTCTGTGATGGGACCCACCCATTACCCAAAAGGATTAGGAGACAGTATATATGCTGAATGAAAAAGGTCAGTAATGTGTTTGATCATATGCCTCTTTAGCTTTTCATCTAGTTATTTGCATGTCTATGAACTTATATAACAAATCCAAATGCTAGCTCTGTCGATTTTCCTTAGCAGCCTGAAATCTTTGTCCTGTGAGAAATACTTACTCTAAAAGATGACCACTTTCAGCAGCATATATGCTGAGTGGAATTAACTAAAACAATTTATTATTGTTGATGATAACAGGGTTTAAGACTTCTATTGACATATTAAAACTCTATATTATTGACACTCTGTTCATATCTTTTTAATAGGTTTACTTTGGAGGATTATTTTGATATGATATAGCAGGAGAGAAAAATGCAGGACTTTACACGATGGACCTCAAAATGAAGGAATCACTGGCACTTTGGAGGCAAGAATGGGACACAGACTTGTTATCTCATACTGATTCCAAAGTAACAAGATCTGTCCTTGCAGTCTTGGTTTCTGGTCAAGACTTTTACGAGGCAGCAGACATGGACTTGGCATCTAAGCATCTATAGATCAGCTTGGACTACCCTATCGTCGAAAGGATTCTCAAAATTTTCTTACTACTCTGATGATTGGTTTAAATGGATGCCACATATCTGCACCTGTGGTCCATTAACATCCTCATATTCCTTTGGCACAAAAGGATTTTTTTCAGCTTATTCTTGATCGATATCTTTTTATCATCACATTGTTCTTGTTGTCATTGTTTCAGCATCAGCATTATCTCTTGTATATCTTCATTTTTTCTTGCACTGAGAAGATGCTCATATAACATGCATTCCAGTCTCCAAAAGAAGCTGAAATATTGAATATCTATGTGATGCCAAATGAAACATTGAGGGTCATCTCATGAAATGTCTGACGAACCTATATGGGGAATTTAGAGCCATCATGCACATTTTGGAAAATCTTCTAGTTGAGGTGCGTTAAAAATATTGTTCCATTTTCAACACATGCAACTCGAGAACAGGTAAGATTGTTCAGGGCTTTGTGAAAGTTTACTAAGCAGAAGCATACAGGTTTGTCACTCTTCATCTTCTTCTCCTCCAAATACAAGTATCGATCAGGTACTCTATGGTGACATGTTAGAGTCATATCAAGATGTCAAAAGCAACTTGGTGAGGATGTTCTGTGCCATTGGACATAGACATAAAGAGGATGATCACAAGAATACTGGCAGCTATTAGTAATGCATCATTTACAACCTCATTACTGATATCTGCCAGAATGCACTTTAGAACAATGCAAAGAAGCTCAGTGAAAAAAGAAAAGTGTACCTCGAGGTGCTCCTAAATTTGATGGTAATGTGCTTCTGGATCCAAAGTTCATATCTGTTGTTGACGACCTCACAATCTTTGTGTGATCTGCTGTGTTACAGTGAGCAGGCAGGCATCATTCAGGGAAGGTTCTAGAATAAAAAATGAGCTCTTTTCCAGACAAGAAGTTTGGAGAGTTATCCATTCATGGCCTCTCTGTATAACCTGAAGAATATATACATGACGGCTTGCATGTCAACACAATTCACGCCTCCTCTCTCTGCCATGCCAATCCAGTATGCTTGTGTAGAAACTGAAAAAGGTGAGGCTTAATCAACTTGGACGTTCTCAGACTGGGATTCCATTCATCATGAACATAAAGTGGATGCTTCAACTGTAATATAAATAGGCCCTCTCCTATTCAATCCTCACCAAGCTCGTTCTGAATTCCCATTTTCAAAAACAAACTCTTCTTCCATCACAGCTTCAACTTGTAGAGTTACCATGCCCCAAGGAAGGGATCCTCTTGTCCTGGGCCAAGTAGTTGGTGATGTTTTGGATCCTTTCACTCGGTCAGCTGCCATGAGAGTGATGTACAACAGCAAAGAGATAAGAAATGGAACAGGGCTGAGGCACTCAGCGGTGGTGAATAAGCCCCGAGTTGAGATTGAAGGACATGATAGAAGGCAGCTCTACACGCTGGTAAGTTATGGAAAAACAACCTCTTTTCCATATAATTCTCTTTTCTCACTGCATGCATGAATTTGTTTATAGGGCTGTAGTCAACCTTCATAACTTGGCGGCAGTTCAATAAGTAGCAAGCAATGACACATTAAACGTATTATGAAAAGGAAACCAAGGCAATATTATTCATAAGCTGACCTCTTATGGCTTCACTTCTTATATATCTTATTTATAAACCTATCTTCTTATATTTTGTTCAATTTTTGGTGTTTCACTTTCTGACTTATAGCTTTGGATAATATATATGCTTCAGATGTTAATCTGTTGTAGGCACATTAGCACAAGTATTCAAGGAAGAATGTCAGTAAGAAACTTTCAGGTCAAATTCTCCTTATAATTGTGGTTTGTCACAAAATCCAAATGCATGGTTGAAAATTTCAACCAACACAAAGAAATGTGAGCATGAAGCAGAGAGTAGCAGCCAGAATGAGATCAAGGTCATAAGATACCATCAAAAAGCACTCCACATCCAAAACAAAGATAAATTAAAGAAATAGAAGGATCAAGACAGAATTTTTTGCTACTGTTTGATTCAAAAGCTTTATTTTTTACTCGTCATATTCTCAGTTAAGTTTTATGAATTTATAGGAGGGGTTAAATTATTCAAGTTCTAATACAGATTGTGTTCATGCATGCTCTTATACGCACACCATGTACAGATATGTATATGTATGGACTTCAATATTTAACCTGGTGAATTTCTTATGTTGGGTAACTTCATCATATTTTCTAGGTGATGGTGGATGCTGATGCACCAAGCCCAAACAGTCCTACAGACAGAGAGTACCTTCACTGGTAAGCACAAAATCTACTATGAATACATGACGATTCTATCCCAAAAACACTTCTTGTAATGCTCTAAATTTATACATATATTTTCTGTTTCCCTACTGGAATAAAAATTTAAATCAGCTGAAACTGACAAGTCATTTTTTTTTTAGGTTGGTGACAGACATCCCAGAAACCCTTGATGCCAGTTATGGTGGGTAAAATTAACACTTGTTATTTACTCCCAATTCTCAACTACTATAGAATCCTAAATTATGATACATAAAAAAAATTAAAAATGCATTTATATATTTAATATTTTCAAATGATACAAATGAGTCCACTGGCCTAGAATCTACAGACATGCATCATCACATGTTTAAGCTATCTCAACTTGTGTATTGGAAATTGATACCCACTCACAAGCAATGTTATAATCACTCTGTTGATTTGTCAAAATGAACATGGCCATTGGATTGCCATTCTTCCAAAGAAATAATACGGTTTACATATATAAGCCATTGCCAAGTTTACATCTATGTGTTTGTTAGTTTTCTGTTATTAAGTTCTGAATAATAAGAGGTTTCATTCATCTTATCTCCTAATAGAATTTTAAGCTTATTATTATTATTTTTTGTTTGGATTATGCTATTTAAAATCTAGTTCATAAAAACACTCCTTTTGATTAATTTCCTCTGAGAAAGTTAAGTTCAAAAGGAACATGCTTAAATTATCTGATATCTATTAGAGGGATTTTGTTTTTGGTGATATGCTAATATATTGACCTATTAATCAAATTATTCATCAATTTCTTATGATATTGGCAAGAACTAGCATAGTAGTAGGATGAGATGCTGCCAAGGGTTACCTTTTGGTGCCAAAACAGACTACCACAAGACATATTATGGATGGGAGGCATTCTATAGTCTGTAGATGATAATTTCATATGATTAAGTTCTACAGAAATAGCCTAAAGATGATTTTGGTTATATCCAAGATTTTGTTCTTGCATACAACCAAGGAAATCTGAAGGTATGTGTTGCAGGCAAAGAGATTTGACATCTAAATTAGTCTTGGAAGTAGCAACAAAAAGAAGCTATAGTTTGTCCAAGGCATGCAGTTAAGTGCAACCCTTTCTTACGATGCAATAACCCTTCATTTCAACCAGATGGCATAGGATGTTTGTTGTTACGCCTGACTGCAGCAAACATACTGTGTATTCTGGTTCACTCATGACTCAACTGTAGAGGTGTGAGCTTCCTTTCTACTATTGTAGTGAGCATATCTTAGTTAGATCGTTGGCAGCAAGTTATGCATCTTAAAATTGATGCAAAGTAACAATTTAACTATTGGGTTCAGCTCTCATGTTAGGGTAACTAACAGAACTGAATCAGCAGCAGAGTTATCACTTGCTGCTGGAGACCTGTGGATTATCACTTTAGCTACATCAGAGCTGACATCTTCCTCTACACGAGAAAATTTTTCTATGTACATGTCATTTTCTGGTGCAGTATTCTGCTATCACTAAAACCATGAAAAAAGATAAATCAGTTTATCATGAATATATTACAGAATCTATAAAATTAAAGAGGCACGTGAATAATACATGCAACGGAGAGGGGGTTGAGGGCCCTAGCTCTAACACGTGTGCCCCACCTGTGTTTTTTTCTCCTCCATGCAGGTTGAGCAAAGATGCAGACAGCTTTGTGTGCATGATCTCTGTTCTTGTGTGGGCCCCACTTGAAGACATTAGTCAGCATGGCGGGGCCTCAACCGGAAATCGAAGTAGATGGATGGCTGTTATTCCTCACAGTAATCAACGTTGACTTAATGCTTTACTTTGTGGGGGCCCACAAGAAAAAAAATAAAAGAAATATATTAAAAGTTGATTGATTGTGGTATTACCATTATTTCAGTCATCTTCCAAACTGTGTACCACACTCTTGAACACACACACATAAGAGCACAATTTTAACTGTATTACTTTATCTTAGATGCTATCTAAATGCAACCACTGATACTGAAATGGAGAATTAATTGGTTGTTCCTGTGAATGCATGCTATATCTTCTATGAAAAAGCCTCTCTCTTATGTTTCTGGTGTATTCTATGTTGAAACTTTCTCAATTATTTACTTTTAAGACATCTGCTAGGTTTTTGCTACATTTTAATCTTGAACTTGAGAATACTATTTCATTCAACAACTGATGCTGGCATGAACAATTGCTTTTCCTCTGGATGCATGCATCACAGTCTATGAATGGTTTAATTTTTTTTATTTTTCTTCTCTGACAGACCATTTTGAAGCTTTTGTCCGAACTTTTCAATGCTCTACTGTCAAAAGCACCTATAGATTCTTGAGCAGCACTTAAAAGAGTTAGGTTTTGTTTAGCATGCATTTAGAGCAAACAGAAAATTTGCATCTATAGCTTTTTATCTGAATTTATCCATCCCACAAGCTAGGAATAAGATAATGAACTTCCATACTCAAATGCTGAACATCTAGATCTGAAACTATTAAACACTTCACTATGAATTCGAACATCTAGATCTGAGAGTATAAATCTTGCAAAAATTCCACTACAGAAATGTTAAAGATTTGTATGATAATTTAAAACATACATTCCAAGAGCCAATCTATATTTCCTTTCCATGAACCATAATGTTCAGATTTCACTATGAACATAATGAAAATGTACATCAACAGGTCAGTTGATGGGTTTACAATTAATTAGGCTGCTGTCTCAAATGTATTGATACACATGTTTTTACATGTAAAGAAGATTCATTAGGCGATGTGCAAAATTTACTAATATGCTTTTGTCAAGTCCTTAGCTAACTATTAGTAACCAAATTCATGCGAAATATACTTGAGGTCTTCCTCTCTGCAAGTGCACAGATATCTACAACCAACAAAAGCATGCAAAACTCATACATACACACTTTTCTCTTTTCATGCTTCTCGGCTCTTTTTCTTTCCTTCCTTTTCTTTCATAGATCAACTGGCTCCTTTATTCATTGCACTAAGCATAACAAATTGATTCTTGTTTAACTTTTAACTTGCATATTGAGATTTTGAATCTCAAAGTTTGGCTTTCTGAGCAGCTAAGAGTTGCTAGTGTCTTCTGATACACATCTGGGAGAATGGTTTCCCAGCGATTCTTAAGAATTTGCTTGGTTATGATGTAAGTTTCTGAAGAAACACCAACACTTGTCGAGAATCCTCCTTTTTATGTCCCTACTTTCCTGATACCTTGATCAAGAAGCTATAGAAAAGGCCTAACTGTATAAGAACATTGTTTCAGGAAATGAAATTGTCAGCTATGAGAGCCCACATCCAACCGCAGGGATTCATCGTATCGTTCTTGTGCTCTTCCGGCAAGAGGTTCAGCAAACTATTTATGCACCCGGTTGGCGTCAAAACTTCAACACCAGGGACTTCTCAGCATTCTATAGCATTGGACCTCCTGTGGCTGCCATATACTTCAACTGCCAAAGAGAGAATGGTTGTGGGGGACGAAGGTAATAAACAAAAGTCATTGCTTACGACATGAATCATGCATGAAAAAGAGACCACAAATGATTTAAATCTCTTCAACAAGACTTTGCTTAGGGATTTAAAATGTCATGAGCACACAGTTATATCACTATGAAGTATCAGACATGATTCTTTGCTGATCAAATTCCTGTTTTGAGTCAATTCAAGTAGATGCTTTTAGTTCCAAACTCTTTCCTTGTCAAGTGCTTCATCCATAAAAGAAGTTTACCACACACTTTGGATTCTAAAGAGTGCATTCTGCTAACCTGAAACATGTATGCTGCAAGCACTTGCAGAAAATATATTTTTAATTATGGAGGACTCAAATTATTGTTTCTTTGGATGGAAGGTTCTAAGGGATAGGTTAAGGATGTGCTGAGAAGCATGGACATTCTGAGAGGTGGCATTTCACATTCAGTTAATGCAGGCTATCAAACAACAGGGCTTCAGGAGGAACTCTACATTCATGAAATATACCTTTTACTGATCAATTTAGTGGATATGGTATTTACTATGGTTCTCAGTCTAACCGATCATTACTTGTAAAACGTTTCTACTACTTTGAACATGTACTATGTGGCTTCACCCACATAAAATCCCTAAAGAGATGCAGTGGAAACCTTATTGACAGATTACTAGTACTTGGAAGTGCTCAAAAGAGGTTGAGATCCTAATTTGAACATGCAGCTTTTCTTTCTGCAGATGTTTTCATCAGGTACTCGATTTATCTTAGCTGGGTAATGACCTCACAGAAATAACATTCAAGAAATGATCCTTAGAAGATATGTGATTGAAGTAGTGAACTTTATTTTGAATGAGCAATGACATTAATTGCAACTCTGGA